GGAAAATGTTAGGACCCAGAGACAAGAAACAGCAGCCTCTGGTTGCTAGAGAGCTGTCCTCGTAAAGACCAAGGTCTTGCATCCTGGGCCAAGAACTTTAACTGGCTGCTACGGAGTGAGTTCTCAACCTGTGGGTCGCGACCCCCGGGCTTTTAACAACCCTTTCACATGGGTCGTACATCAGAGATCCTGCATATCTGATAATTACATCATGATTTGTAACAGTAACAAAACTAAAGTTATGAAGTAGCAATGAAAAATTTATAGTTGGGCGGGGGTGGTCACCATATATGAGGAACTATATTAAAGGACTCCAGCATTAGGAAGGTTGAGAACCCCTAGCCTAGAGGCATGGCTGCCTGGGAACTGCATAAGGACTGAAACACTAGAAGGCATCCCAAGCTGCTGTTCCCACCTGGTTACTACCACTGCTCACAAGGAAGCCAATGCTCCAGAGACGAGCACTGGGTCCTCCTGCCTCTCTGAGTCTGCAGTGAGAGAAAGTAGTTCTCCAGGTCCCCAGGGTAAACTTCTTATACAACATGAATAAAACCACAGTTACTGCAGAGGTTTACCGATGTCACCTTTTCTAGTCCCAACCCCAAACTTCCTACCTCACCACCCCCATTCCATAAAGGAACACCTACTGCTGGTAAAATGAAGGCAAACTTAACTTTATGTTAGAGGGAAGAGGGGGAAGCCCATTTCCTTTGTTTTTATTTTTTTCCGTGCACTGGTGACATATTCTCATGACCCAACCCAGGAATGTATTCTGACCTAATTCCCAAGGGTGTCACAGTCATCCCGGCATGGCTGAGCTGCTCTTCAGTACTTTGGTGCTTGAGCGGTTCAGTACAATGAAAAATGCATGGGTTTTAGAGTTAGGCCTCTATGCAACTCCTAGCTCTGATCCTCAGAAGCTAGAGAGTGTGTGAAATGTGGCTGGTAAAAATGAAGAACTTGTGGGTTTGTTTTAAATCTTATCCATCTAAAAGCCACTCATGGCTAGGGGCTGCCCTGTTGGATGACAAAGTTCCAGACACTGTGTTCTTGTTCATACGTCACAGCCAACTTTAGTTTTGGGAGCAATGATCTTATTTTGCCAGCTTAGACCATTCTCTAAATGCCTTTCCTGTTTGTTCCTATTCAGACATTGGCATAGACATTTTTATTTTTTTTTTAATTTTTATTTTTTTGGTTTTTTCGAGACAGGGTTTCTCTGTATAGTCCTGGCTGTCCTGGAACTCACTCTGTAGACCAGGCTGGCCTTGAACTCAGAAATCTGCCTGCCTCTGCCTCCCAAGTGCTGGGATTAAAGGTGTGTGCCACCACCGCCCGGCAGCATAGACATTTTTAAAAATTTATTTTTATTTTATGTATGTTGATGTTTTTTGACTGCATGTATGTCTGTATGAGTGTGTCAGATCCCCTGGAACTGGAATTACAGACAGTTGTGAGCTGCCATGCTGCCATATGGGAGGTGGGAATTGAACCTGGGTCCTCTGGAAGGGCAGTCGGTGCTCTTAACCCATCTCTGCAGCCCTGGCACAGACATTTCTAACCCTGTTTCCTCATCTATAAAATGAGCTGTTAGTAGTTCTAACATTACAGTCATCCCTAGTTTCATCACCTGTGTTGATTGCTTAACTTGAAAAAAGAGCTTTAAACAGTTATATTTATTTGTATGGGTGTTACATACATGTGCAACATACAGTGCACATGTAGAGGTCAGAGGATAACTTGGGAGTCAGATAAACTCAGGTCATCGGGCTTTATGACAAGTGTCTTTCCCTGCTCGTCTGACTGAACTTGTTACTTAACTTTTTAAGCGATATAAACAATCTTCAATAGATATTTTTAAAGTCCATACTGTTAATTATTAGCATCCAGCAGCGCTACATTTGAACCAGAGCTAAGGCTCAATTTTCCCACCTTCATCACCATGATCAGACTTTATCTCAGTTTCAGAGACTATGTGAGGAGGGGGACACTCACAGCTTTGCTCTTAATGGGTAGAAATGGCATCCTTATTTCAGCAAGAGTCTCAGAAAGAGATGTAGTCAGGAGGTTTAGGTACGAGGCTGACGCCAGATAAGTTTTTATTATATTTAAAAAACAGTGGAACTGGAAATAAGGGTAAGTCGTTGAAGGTGGATGAGAGTTGAAGGGCCTCCCATTCCTCAGTGGCAGGATTTGGACCCACGGCCCAAGCCAGGTCTTATCCAGCCGAGATGCTGGAAAGCAGAGCACACAGTTGTGCCCATCAAAGCAAAGAGGGCAAGAGAGCTCACGCCTCCTCGATACCGCTTGCTAGGGTCTGAAAAACAAGACAGGAGAAGTTACCAGAACATTCACAAGCCATTCTTCTCTAGCATCTGAGGTTGTATATTCAACTGCCTGTTGTTGGGAGGTTGACTAACTCTAGCCTAGGGACATCAGTATGCTAGAAGCCATGTGTATTCAACTGCCTGTTGTTGGGAGGTTGACCAACTCTAGCCTAGGGTCATCAGTATGCTAGAAGCCATGTGCAAAGTAATTTTACAATAGCATTGCCTAGTCTATGGAGAGCTCTGTAAGTAAAGCAACTTTGTCTTTGGCCTAATTGGAGCATTTGCCTCTGGAATGACGCATAGCCTCTTCCTCTCTGCTGGCTGTTTATCCCAGCGGTGGTCAGGTTTTGCCAATGTAGTACCTTGGTTTGATTCTTGGTAGCTCTGGTTAGCCCCTTAATATTTCTAAGGCTGTCTCCTCATCTGTAAAACAGGCTGTTAGCTGTACGTGGAATTGCAAAGCATACGTAAAGCTCCCAAGCCAAGCAACTGGCACTTGGAAAATGCTCAAAGGTCTGTTAGCTTCTAAGGATAGTAAGAAGAAAAAGAATAGACCTTCTGCATTAATTATTAAGCCACTACCTCACTTTAAATTTTATATTTTATGAATATGGGTATTCTGTCTGCAGATGTGCCTGTGCAACAGTTGTATGGATCCCTAGAGCTGGAGTTACAAACTGTTGTGAACTGCTATGTGGGTCCCGGGAATCAAACCTGGATCCTCCAGACGAGCCGTCAATCATCTGCACAGCCATCTCTCTGGCCCTATTTCTTCCTCCACTTTTAAATCCCAACCAAGAGTTAAATTACAGTAACACTATTTAAAATTTGGCTGGGCGGTGATTCTTGAGGTAGAGGCAGGCATCTCTCTGTGAGTTTGAGGCCAGCCTAGTTTATGGAGTGAGTTCCAGGGCAGCCAGGGCTACACCGAGAAACCATGTCTCAAAAAACCAAAATAAAATAAAAATAAAAAATAAATAAAAATTGTTTTGGGGGCAGAAAAGATGGCTCAGTAGTTAGGCCTACTTGCTGTTCTTGTAGAAGACCAGAATCTAACATCAGCACCCATGTTAGATAGCTTTCAACCATCTGTAAACGTAACTCCAGGGGATTAATACATTCTGTCTGCCCTCCATGGGCCCATGCACACAAGTACACAGTACATGTTAAAGAAAATAAATCTAAAATGTAGTTCCTTGGCAGATGTCAACATGTACTTACCTCCTGTGTAGTAGCCATATGCGTAAAGAACTCGCCCAATAATCCAGGCCAGGCCCAAGCCAGAAGCTATGCGCTAAGATAAAAGAACAGTTCAGTGTTTGCATGGAAGAAACAGACCTTTACGAATTAATGCCTGCAGCTGACTACACTTGTGTTGGCCAACGGTAATTTCATGCATTTGGTAAGGTATTTCTCACAGAGTTAGGGAATAATGGGGTTATTTGTTTCAGTCAGGAAAGTTGAAGACCCATGGTTGTCTACAATGGCATGCTCAAACTTTTTGAGGTGAGTCCTAGCTTTCCCCATGGGTGGACTGGAAGGAACTTCCTGCTCAGGGCAACTGGGGGGAACCGGTTCTGGAGCTCAGGTCAAGGGCAGGCAGGCCTCAGGGTTCCAGGGTGAGTCAGAAGAGGAAACGCTGATGTCTGAAATAGGACCCTGGGTCCTACACTGACTGAACAGCTGCTGGGCTACACTGTCTGTAGTGACAATGCCTGGATGCAGCCAGTACTGCAGCCTGCACACAGTAGGGGTGGAGCTTGATGAGAAAAATTTATAGCAAACCTCTGAATATGTGTACTCAGAGGGGAAGGGGCTCTGCATTCCCAACACCCCTGACAGGAGGAGCCTTATTATGTAGGTTGACACACCCTTCCCTTTGTTTCATCCTGAGTAACCCCACTGGCCAGACAGAATAAGAGGGAACAAAGGTTGGGGCAGGGTGAGCATGTGACCTTCCCAAGTCCTTTCCAATTTGGCAGTGCTGTGGGTGGTGCTGGCTGCTAAGGGAGGATTCTGCTTGAATTGACTCTGGATGAGAAGTATCTACAGGAGGATGAAGTTCAACTATCAACAGAGCCCCAGTTACTCTCTGTTTAAGCTTAGTCTCTGCCAGGCTGTTCTTCACTATAGTGCCGTGTAATTACTAGCAATTTGGGGACAATGTTTTGGAGGCTGTCTTTAGTGTACTGGTGCCCGCCTGTCCCGTTCACTGCCATAACCTCAGGTGACTAATGACTCCATGCCTTCTCCATGGCAGTGCTATAGACAGACACCTACAGTTCCATCTTCCTCACCTCTTATGAGTTTGCGTAACTGTCACCTCAGTAAAAGCCCTGAGCCTGGCCACACTACTCATAATCTCTGAGCCCCATGTGCCTGTCCCACCTCCCAACAGTTTGCTATGGGCACTCACTGCTATCTAACATATCAAATAATTTACTTATGACCCCAATTAAAGGAAAGGCCGATTAATCCAGGCGTCTGCCTGTCTTGTTCATACATGAATGAGGAAAGTAAAATCCACCCCCTGTGGAGACAAACCTTTTAGAAATAGACCAGGGTTCAAAGTTCCATGCTTCTGTGGCTTAGCTGACCCAGTGAAAGTTAAACAGTGTCTAATAGGCTTTTCCCTAGTCTGAAAAAACTAGACGAAATACTGTCTCCTTTAAAGCAAACCTCATAAGTCAGTAAGTAAAATCCTATTACATATGTGCTGCTTAACACCAAGGCTCCTCAGTGTTCACTTCCTTCTCCCTGTGCCCAGGGTAGTCACATCTAAATGGATGAACAGCCCCAGAAGAAACTTACCGGGTGGTAAACACCTCCCACGGTTAGGAAAAACAGGAAGGGAGGGTACACCTCCAACCTGGAATGGAGAGAAATTAACTTTTAAAAAGTGTTCTCAAGCCTGGCAGTGGTGGTGCACGCCTTTAATCCCCATACCTGGGGAGGCAGAGGCAGGTGGATCTCTGTGAGTTTGAGGCCAGCTTGGCCTACAGAGTGAGTTCCAGGACAGGCAAGGCTACACAGAGAAACCCTGTCTTGAAAAACAACCCCTCCCCCCCCCAAAAAAAAAGAAAAAAGAAAAAAGAAAAAAAAAACCAACAAAAAGAGTTTCCTCATGGATGTCTGTTCAGTACTTTAAGAACTATAAGGAACTCTCTCCCTTCTTGCTGGAAGGTTAGAAACTCAAGTACAAACACTGACTGAAGAGAGAGTTCTGGTTGAGAGTAAAAGAACTTCACATCCTATAAACTCATGAGGAAGGTCTTAGATTGGAAAAGGTTTCTTAATGGAAGCACAGTCTGAAATGTCCCATACAGACACCTGTCTCTGCTTAGTGGCATTGTTTTTGGAGGTTGTGGGATCTTTTTAGGCTGGGGCCTGACTAGCAGGTATAGGCCACTAAGGGTGGGCTTTGAGGGACACAGCCCAGCAGAGGACTCTGTTTCCTGTCTGCCTTTGTGACCAGCTGCAAGTCTACCCTCACCAATATGAGTCTGACATCATGGGCTACTTTCTTTAAATCATGAGTCAAGATAAATCCTTCCTCTACTTAGTTTTCTGTCAGGTGTGTGTGTGTATATATGTGTGTACATGTGTGTGTATATATATATATGTATATGTATATATATATATATACACATATATATATGAGTATACATATATATGAATGCAATGAGTTAGATGGTACCTGCAAACACTCAGAGGGTTACATTAAAGACATTTCGATGGCTGCTAATTGTCAATAGAATCTAGACTCACCTGGAGGATGGGCATGCCCATGGAAGATTATTTGGATTGTGTTTGTTAACTGAAGTAGAAAGAACTGCCCACCATGGGTGGCACTAATCCCTAGCTGGGACCTGAACTGTGTAAGACAAAGGAGCCGAGCAGTAGCAGGCCTTCATCACTGTGCTTCTTGACTGTGGATGCGATGGGAACCCTTGTCTCCTGCTTCAGGCTCCTGTCACCTTAACTTTTCTACCATGAGTTCCTCACCATGACAGACTGGCCCTTGAGCTGTAAGTTGGAATAAACCTTTCTCCCTTAGCTCATTTTATCATAGTAACAGGAAAAGACATTTCTGAAAAGATTAGTTAGAAGTTGTTTTGTTTTTCAAGACAAGGTTTCTCTGTGTAGCCCTAGCTGTCCTGGAACTCATTCTGTAGACCAGGCTGGCCTCAAACTCACAGAGATATATGCCTGCCTCTGCCTCCCAAGTGCTAGGACTTAAGGTGTGTGCCACCATAGCCTGGCTATGAACTTTTTCCAATCTAAAAATACTTAGTTTTATTCAGTATTCAAATCTGTTCACACAGTAACTTAAGTTTATTTTTATTTGTGTGAATGAATGAATGTATGTGTGTGTACCAATGCCCTGGCTCACATGTTTAAGTTAGACTTGGTTCTTTCTTCTTGCCATGTGGGCCCCAGGGATCAAATATAGATTATCAGGTTCGGCAAAAAGTGCCTTAATTTTCTGAGCCATCTTGCTCCCCCAATAATGTTTTAATGATACTTTTAATAAGGTACCCATGATTGCCATGCTATCACTGAGCAAATTCAGAGGCTTGGGGCTGAAGTGATGGACATCTTTGCCGTCTGGCAGCATGACACTCACGTGTTCTGGTGGGCTCGCTGAATGCAGTTGAACATATGTCCATTCTCAGGATCTGTGCTGTACATGATAGGGTACTGTGGAAGCAAAGGCCATGCAGAGCGTAAGTGTTGAGAATTACCTAACACTGAAACAGAGACATCCCGAAGCACCTTCTACTGTCCCCCTGATGGATGAGTGCCTGGCTGCCGCTCTGAAGTCTCTATAGTGATGGGGTTTTCAGTTCTCAGCAGCAGGTTTGGCGTTTCTAGCTGTATAAGGTAGTGAGAACCTGTGACTATGTTGTGGTTACAAAAGAGACAGGAGTGGCTTCTGCCCGGCCAGTGTTTCTCATTGATGTCATAAATCAATGGTGGACTGCTGATGATTACAGAGACACCTTAGAGAAATGGATGATCCCCAAGAGTCACCACACACCACATCCCCTTAAGATCTCCCTTAACAGGGAACAGATAATTGAGTGAGTGAGACTTTTATTGCAAGTGTCCATTAGAATAAAAAGAGAAGCAGCCAGATATGAACACTTGAAAAGAACCTCCACCGAGGGAGTCTAATTACAAGATGCTAAATGCAAACAGGCATCTAATTGCTCCCCAGGGAGAACTTTAGAAGTTCTCCTTCTAGTTCAGCCAGAAGTAAAGGAAGTATTTAATAGGCTTCCTTTCTGCAGCTACTGGCTAAACTCAGGTTAAGCTCAGCATCTCTTTTCTATTTAGGAATCAGGAAAATCAACTTAAGACATCTTTTTTAAAGTTGCAAACTAGGAAGCAATATGCCTGTTTCACCCTTTTTAGAGAACAGCAGTGTCCCTGGCAAATGGCTCTAGACAAAAATGGACTTTTAATCCCTGTAGGCCCCGTCTTTCTACAGAGGAGCCAAAGGCCAACAAAGTGTAAACTATGTCCCAGCCTCTTAGGAACAAAATCCTAGTGGGTGTTGTCCAAAAACTGCCGCCACCTGTCACCACCAATAACTCAGCTCTCCCTCCAGGACTGAAAACAAGCCTTGGAAAAGCTGGCGGCCCCAGGAAGCCCACAGAGGCACCTGTCGCTGAGCCCACTTACCTCTACCTTGTACTTCTTGCGGGCTTTACCCACGTTGACGGCTAGGTGGAGCACCATCACAAAGCTGGCGGCACCAGTGAGAAGCACATATCCATATTCCTTAGAGAGGACAGCCATCTTGGCTCTGTGGAAGGAAGTACAACATAGTGGGAAACTAACCTAATGCTGTGGGTATCGTGTAGCCTAAGGCCTTAGCACAGTGCCTCCTTACCAGCAGATGCATACAGATCACAAAGACATTTCGGGGCTGGAAAGACAGCTCAGTAGGTAAACTGTTTGCTGCACCAACAGGAGGACCTGACTCTGGATCCTTAGCCCCTACTGTGCTGGGGTGTGTTGGGAATAAAGACAAGTGGATTCTTGGAGCTCACTAGCTGGCCAGTTTTAATAAAAAAGGTGAGCTTTGGACTCAGTGACAGAACATGCCTCAGAAAAGAAGGTAAAGATTGAGAGAGGTAGAAAAACCTCAGAGCTAACCTCTGGCCTCCGTGTGAGCATGTGCAGGTTAAGAGCACCTGCACACACACAAGCATGTATCACACATACACATGTATCACTCATGCATATACCATACATACATGTCTATGACACACATACACTCTGCCAAATTGAAAAAGGAAAAAGATGTTTCTAATAGGTCATCAGAAATACTACTGTGTATTAGACAACAGAATTAAAAATTACTCCAGTCTGCACTGGTCTCAGGAAAGTATCAAATCATACATGTCTTTCCTTCCTTCTCTCTTCCTTCCTTCACCTTGTTTCCTTCCTCCATCCCTTCACTTCAGTTCTGAGAACAGATTTTACTTCCTTACTTTTTTTTGTTTTTTTGTTTTTGTTTGTTTTTGTTTTTTTTGTTTTTGTTTTTTTGAGACAGGGTTTCTCTGTGTAGCCCTGGCTGTCTTGGAACTCACTCTGTAGACCAGGCTGGCCTCGAACTCAGAAATCCGCCTGCCTCTGCCTTCCTTACTTCTTTATTATTTATTTTTGTGTGTACACACATCCATGCACATACAGCCGTGTGCACATGGAGGTGACAGGACAATTTGTAGGAGTCTCTTCTCTCCTACTACCATGTGGGCCCTGGGGGTTCAACTCCGGTCACCAGCCTTGGCAGCTGGCACCTTTACCCACTGAGCCATCGCATGGGCTACTTAATTGCAGTTTTTGAGACAGAGTTTCTCTGGGTAGCCTAAGTTGGCATAATGTGTGTGTGTGCACGCGTGTGTATGTATGTATATATACTCAATATAGAATCCAGAGGGGCCTTAAGATCACAGCAACCATCCTGCCTCAGCCTCCCAAGTACTGAGATTACAGGTGTGTGCTACTATAACTAGCTGTATACTCTCTTTGGTTCAACATCCATTTATAAAATTTCACCTGTATCATTGCAGTGGTCACTGTAGTATGTGATGGCCACTAAAATTTGCATTGGGAAGAATTTAACATGACACACTTTAACAAAGTAGTATCTACAACAGTGGCTTCTGGAGAGGATGACAGTGAGGTCAGGACCTTGTGACCATCCTTCCAGCCTGATCCTGGCCACATGCTGGGACCAGTTTAGAAACCAGAGTGGAGAAGCTCTGACATCAAAGCATGGCTCCTGAGTCAATGGTATGAACAAGACACACAGTCTGGCAGACTCCTGAGAACCCAGGTGGCCCATCAAATCACCACAAGCCCCACAAAGAGTTCTGACATCTGCCACTTACTCTGGAATGCATAAAGAGTTGGGAATACAAGCTGAACAAATGTTAACAGCAGATTGGGGTAGTAGCTATGTGGTTTCAAGATACAATTCTTTTCATTTTTCTGACCACACAGGAGAAACTGCTTTGAGAAAAAGCTAATCCTGGCTCATCTTGCAGTGTTCAGCATTCAAGCTCCTGTCTCAAGGGAAAGACTTAGGCTGGGCACCAGAGAGAACAAAACTTAGCAGGTGGAAGAGGCTTTAAGCATCTCAGAGCTCACTGGGCTGTCCAGTATCCTCTGTGAGCTAAGGCTTCAGGGCAGGCTGGCAGAAAAGGCAGCTACTGAAGTGACTCACTACCATGTGCAAGATTGCCCCACGCCAGGAGCTCCTGTGTGATCTCTTGCTGGTTGTAAAAGCACATACTGATAGGCAAATGCTTAAGAGGATGAGGCAGGAGGATCAGAAGTTCAAGGCTGACATGTGCTTTGCCTTTAAGGGCTGGAGAGATGGCTTTGTTGGTCAAATGCTTGCTGAACAACCATGAGGACCTGAGTTCAATCCCTAGCACCCACACAAAAGAGTCAGGCAAGATGGTGCCCACAGTCTTGTATTCCTACTGCTGCAAAGACAGGGAGACTGCAGGAGCTTGTAGGGCAGCCAGTGTAGCCTGACTGGTGAGCTCTGGCTGTCAGTGAGAGACGCTGTCTCAAAAGACAAATGGGTTCCTGCCGGGGAGCAACAACAACCCAGATTGTCTTACGGTTTCTGAATGGATGGGTATGCAAATACACCCACCCCACACATCCACTGAAAGAAATAGTCTGTCTCTGGTGGGTGTCTAGCTTTCATCTCCCCAACAGCCAGCTCAGGGTATTGCCCTGCTGCAGAACATTTCTAGTGATCCTTAAAAACAAAAGGACACGATTCCAGTGCCCCTACCAGCGGAGGAACACCCAGAGCTCCTGTGCTGCACCCAGTGTCTAAAGCCGGAAGTATTATGGGTAGGATTGAACTCAGATTTGTCTGGCTCCCATGGCCTCTTTCAGTCCTGTCTACAGTGGAGCCACAATGTCTTTCTCAATATGAAATTTGGAGGGTGAGCAAGTTACTTGGTTTTTTAAAAAATAAGTTTCTCAGGAGTAGAGAGATGGCTCAGGCGTTGAGAGCGCTGGCTGCTACTCCAGGTTTGATTGCCAGCACCCACATGGTGGCTCACAACTCCACTCCCAGGGGAATTCAGTAACTACTTCTATCTAGCTTCTAAGGGCACTACACTTATGTAGCTCACAGACATGCATGCAGGCAAAATACCCATGTACATAAAAATAAATAAATTAAAAAATACACTTCTCCTGGCTTAGAAAAATAACATTAGGGTTCTAAGCCCCTCAGGTCACCATCCCATTAGGGCACACAGTGATCAATTCTCACCAGATTTCCCCTTTTATGGTCTTCACCCCACCCTGCTCACTTGTCCTTCAGAGGGACCAAACACACTCCAGGCCAGACTGTCTCTATGACTCAGCACAAGGTGTCTCCAGGTGAGAAGCTACAGCTGCCCAGCTTCAGAGAAGAGGGCCTGGATGCTCTCCAAGTTTCTTCTCCTTCCTTCTCTCCCCAAGTTATAAAGTCAACACATGGGAGAGGCTGTGGGATTAATTATGTAGCAAAAATACAGTGTGAATTCTGAACACCTCTGTGAAAACAGAAAGTGATCAAACCTATTTGCCATCCTTGGAGTTAAAACCACCGGGGCCAAACAGGCCATTGAAAGTGAAGCCGCCTCCAAGGCTGTCAGAGCTGCATGGAGGTCAGTTTGTGAGTCTGAAGGCTCAAGAGGATGAGGGCAGAGCTAGGACCAGGTCAGGTTTAAGAATTCATAAAAACACTCTAGTTCGGCAAAACACCAGAACGGGCCTTAGTTGCTGACCCGTTTTTCTGATATCTAAGAGCAGCCAGGCGGCAGCCAGGGGAAGCGATCTTTGCGTGGATATCTGCTGCATGTGAGAGCCATTCCCAAAGCAACTGTTCTGCAATCTACAACCAGAAAGGAACATGTCTGCCAGGCTCCTCCTTCAGAGAAGAACTGCAGTCTGCTGGGTGTTCACACCTGGTGAGAGTCCCTCTCCTCAGTTCACGAAGACGATGTGACTAGGATGAACCTGGGTCAGGGTAAGTGAGACTCAGCATCAAGAGGGGCTGATGACCTGTAGGACGCTGGACTTGGCTGGTTCAAGGGTAGGATCTGACCCGAAAGCCTTTTTCCTGCACTCCAGCTTTCCTGGTTTCAGAAAAATACTATTCAAGCTGCAAAGGGCAAGGAGCAATTAAACGGCCCTACCCAGTTGCAATCCCTATGAACCATGACAATAATCAGCCTGGCAAGATATGCACAGAGGTGCAGTCAGCGTGACTCATGGCTTGGCGACAATCAATAGCTATCTAATTGAACTTAAGGCCAATTTGACAGGAAGATATCATGCCTGGTACTGGAAACCTAGTCAATAATCCAGAGCTAGTAAGATTGCCTTGAAAACCAACATAATTCTTTATACATACTAAGTCATATCCTGTCCACAGATAAGTGTAGCCACCACCCCTCCTTAAAGGAGCTTCTCCTTACAGAAAATGGAGACCATTACAGAAAACTACAGCTGGACACAATGCAGAGATTGTGGGGAGTACGGCTGAAACTGATAGATTTATATCGAAGCTCCTGAACCTATGGCTCTGGGGATATCATGGTAAGATTGTTAAGAGCATGGATACCAGAAAGTCTGCTGTGAAACAGTCTCTCCTAGAAATGGCTGCAATGGCAACATCAATGGATGTGTTTCAATGGAAGGAGGAAATTTCACAGGGTGGCACCTCTAGGCAGAGAACTTCAGGCCACTAATGACAGCAGCTGGGAGATGGAGAGTTAGCCTCTCCCAGGGATGAGCCCCTTTACTGGCTGCTGAATGCAGAGTGGACAGCTCTGAAACCATATACACACGATAAAAATGCAGTCAGAAGACTGTATTTATATGCACTTGTGCATACACATACATTCACACATATGCATATAACAGTAATAACGCCAAAGAGTCTATCAGCTTGAGGGAGGGAGAGTCGCTAGGAGGGGCCAGAGGGAGGAAAGTGGGGGTTGGGAGGATGATGTAATTCTGTTTCCACTGAGGGGGAGCCTGGTGAAATGGTTCAGCAGAAAAGGCAGAGAATTAACTAACGGTGGGGAAGGGTGATCGGATATTAGCATGGGTGGTTTGTAGAGACCACGTGATCCTCTATTACGGAGAGTCTTCTTCTCCCTGTAGGGTCTCTTTTTGGAGCCTTGAACACTTGTGAACAGATATAAGGACAAAGCCTGGAATGTTGCCTTTCAGAAAGGTGCAAGAGCCCTTCCGACACCTCCACATACCCCTTCC